TAAGCGTAATGCATGGATCGTTCGATCACCGTACAGAGGTCAGCCACATTCAGAGGGGGTGATAGTTTAGGGGGGAGGGAAGAATGGTGCCATTATGTGGGCAAAGTACATCTGCCCAATCGATGGTTCTCCGCGATATAAGCGATTAAGCAGGTAGCAACGGGCAGAACAACCCTTCCCATGGACACAACGTTGCACAGAACACTGGAGATAAATAAACCGACCGAGTGAGCTTTATTTCAGCTACTGTGATATATATATATATTTATAATCGTACATATACGTATATATATATATATATATGTATATATATATATATGCCAACCTTTATTTAACTCTTTGTCTTCCGTTCCTAACCCTCTCCCATTACCCCTTCTTCCAACCACTAACATTCCCTCGGACAAGTTGTTCGTTACCAAGCAGCCCGGTAAGTAGTTTACCACATAATAGATTGCAGATTCTGAAGCCTCGTCAGCCACCGAATCTGGTCACCGAATCGGGGGGCATTGAACGTGAGGACTTTGATTCAGATAGGTCAACAAGCGTGTCTGTTGCGTATAATGGACTCTGTGGGGATTGGTGTCTGTTGCGCATCGGAGATGCGAATCCAGGATCCTATTACTATAAACCACTTAAGTTCACCGAGGTTATCTTCGAGGTTCTTCCTCCGCGCGTCAGGTGATGATGAAGCCCATTCAGTAGGCCAGTGTGGCATGGGCATTGTAGTCAATAATAAAGCCGAAGCTGCACTACTCGACTGGATCCCCGTCAATAGTCTTTTATGTGCGATGCGGCTCCAAGGGTCCATCAGCGTCCGGAAGAGAAGCAAGGGAAGTGTGACATCTGGTTACACGAGCTCATTGCATCATCCTGGAGGGAGCCACTGATTGTTCCCATTTCTAAGAAGGGATCTCGCAACGACTGTGCAAACCACCGTGGAATCAGTTCGATCCCAATCGTCACCAAGTTACCAGTCTCCATCATACTTCGACGTCTGACACCCTTTAGGGAGACAAACATTCGCGAACAACAAGCAGGATTTCGACCAGGTCCCGGTTGTATGGATCAAACCTTCACTCTGCGTCAAGTCCTCGAGCTGCGCCATACGCACCGTCAACCAACGGTTGTCGTGTTCCTTGATCTAAAAATGAGCCTTCGACTGAGTTCATCGTGAATCCCTTATGGGTTCGCTCCTTCGCAAAGGAATGCCGCAGAAGTATGTGAACATACTGAGTTCACTTTACTCATATAATTCCGGTAGCGTAAGGGTCTACGGCGAGCTGAGTAGGTCGTTCATAACTAGCAGCGGTGTTGTCAATGGTGCCCCCTAACGCCATTCCTGTTGAATTTCGTCATACACGAAATACTGGAGGAGATACTATGTGGTCTCTAAAGTGTAGGTATTGAATGAGCAGGTGGAGAAAAGCTGTGCCACTTAGAGTAAGCTGACGACATCGTTTGCCTATACTAATGTATGGACGATACATAAAGAGCACTTGGCGGATTAACAAGTTCTGTCGCTCCGTTCGGCATGTGCTTTGCACTTTCAAAGTGCAAAGTGATGCTGCAAGACTGGGTGTCGACGAGTTCTGTTCTGAAACTAGACGGTTAGGAATTAGCTGAAGTTGACTGCTTCTCGTACTTAGGTAGCTGCGTGACAAACGACGGTAGAGCATCAAAGGAGATAACCGTCCGCATTTCCAAGGCTCGAGCAGCATAAGCAGGACTTAAACACTTGTGGTGGCGACGTGACGTTTCACTGAAGCTGAAAAGTCGCGTATACCGCGCCACTGTACGATCAGTTCTGCTGTACGGTTGTGAGTCCTTAAACTTGCGGGTAGAAGACAACCGTCGTTTAGCAGTGTTCGACAATTGATGCCTACGTAGTCTGGCCACAGTGGGATGGAGTGAGTGGGTTAGTAACTTAGAAGTAAGTCGTCGGGTGTTTGAGAATACCTCAAATAAGAACTCGGTATCACATCGAATCCAGCTCAATAGTCTTCGATGGTTAGGACACATGTTGTGTATGACCAACGATCGCCTACCGCAGCGCGCCTTATTCGCAGTGACTGTTGCAGGCTTTTAGAAAGCCACGTGGAGGCCAGCGGATGACGTGAATACGAGACATGAAGAAATGCACAAAGCGATTAGATACAGTAGGTATCTGGCCTTCCGGGTTGGGGTCCAAAAGACTCCATAACCGCATGATTGGAGACACTGAAGATCATGGAAGCGAACCGACAGCAATGGAGATCTTGTTGTCAATTCTTATCAGACCAGAATGCTTGAAATAGTATGTGTGCACAGCTGGACTGTTTACTCTGTGTGTTGAAAATACAGGTTCACTTTCTTTTCCCGTCCCTAAGAATAGGTCCAATCCCTGTCCTCCTTACACATTATCACTCATCTTATACGCAATATGAGTTTGGCAGCGATCAATGAAGTTCGCTTCACTGTATTACGCTGTATAATGATGATGATGATGATATAACGGGTACTGATCGAACTCATCCCTAACTTTCATCAGATCTGTTTCTCCGAATGCCTAGTGTTTCGAGCCTCAATCACGGGTTTAAATATGATATTGTTCTACATATCTATAATAATATTTTTGCTTCTATTAGTCGAAGTGGATAAGTTTTGTTATTTGGGCAGCTATATCTCACCCGGTGGACGCATCACGGATGAGGTGTCAGCTCGCATACAGAAGGCTCGGTTGGCATTTGCCAAGTTGAGACATCTGTGGCGCCGTCGCGACATCCGGCTGCCTGTTAAGGGTCCAGTGTGTACTGTGGCAGTTCGGCTAGTTCTGTCATACGGCGCAGAAACTCGGCCATTAAGGAAACAGGATAAAGATAGGCTGTCGGTGTTTGAACACCGCTGTCTATCCAGCATTACACGAATCTGGTGAGCAGGCGGATGAGCAATGCTGAGGTTAGGTGCAGAGGTTTAGGTAAATATGCGGTCGTGCACTGGATCAAATGGTCAATCTCCATATATTACGTTGGTTGGGGCATGTGTTACGCATGTCACCAGATAGGTTCCCACGGTGAGCGATGTTCGCCGAGGCAGATAGTGGGTGCAAGAAAGTCAAGAGTCATGAAGTTATGACCTGGCATGAGGGTATGAAAACCCTAACCAGGGGACTGGGTCACGTAGGTCCCGTTGGGCTCCGTGGCTGGGGACCTCCGGATGATCCTACCCGATGGTTAGAGACACTCAGTGATATGGCTTGGCGTCAGAAACAGTGGCGTTCGTGCATCTTCTCAAGTACTTTGCAACCGTAAAACACTGAACTTCCCCATTTTCTGTTCGACTCTACTTTCAAATTTCCTGTTCTTCTCCTATTCTTCATCCAAATGGGCAGCCAAAAGACAGCAACCAAAACAGGCGCTCGAATATGCGTGGTAAATGGATGTTCAAACTTAAAACTGATTAGTCGAACAGCAATATAATATACGATTTCCCCAATTCGAGGACATTGCATTAGTTATAAAATAAGAAAACCTCACTAAAAATTGTTTCTTTATAAAAATGGCTTACATGTATTTTACTTTCATTTTATCCATGTCAATGAACTTCCATGCTGCTTTGCATCAAAAAAAAATTTTAATTCTGAGCTGTAACTTTCGAACTAGTACAATTTTTATCGCAACAGTCAAGATCGGGCTAACCCCAAACAGACACAAAAGAGCTAAGACCGATGGAGTAGAATATAAAGTTCAGAATAAATGCTCTTCATCCCGTAGGTATCGATATACACACGTGATGCTGGAAAGTGAAATGTATTTCCGAAATGAGAGTCATGCTGCACGAGTTCGATCAACACCTGCACGTCCTTGAGGTTTTTTTTTAGCTTAGTAGAGCAATTTTCAGTAGATGTTTACTTGGCTTATACGATAAATAATCACGCGGAGCGACGTGTAAACTAGTGGGCCGATCCAAATTAATTCTACAACACTTGTAGCAGAGTGGTGCAGGAGTTCAATTTCTGCAGTTAACGGAGAACAGACCGTAGTTTTTGCCGAGGGAGTACTGTGTCTGACCATCTCATTAGTGAGAATTATGGACCGTCTACCATTATTTCGATGTGTCATAACTAAATTGTTCAGTGAAATATTCTACAGGTATCTCTGTTCCCATTTCATCAGATACCTCGATCACCAACGCTCGCGCTTTCTCGCACACGTTCGTATCACTACTGTTCCAGTAAAACTCGTAAGACTACATCCACTCTGACGCATTTAATTCCAAAGAGCGTGATGAGTTAGAATTTCACGATAAAGCTTCTCTATATCGATCAAACAATTAGGTGTTAGACATTTGACTGAACATCTGCGTCGCCTTTGAAGCAGTCGGGTCAACAGTAGAGAAGCTATTTCTGATAATGAGATCAGAACAAACTTGATGATGGAACTGTGGTCGGCCACAATATGAGCTGGTTAGCACACTGGTAATGCGCACGATTTCGAGGCGAATAGTTTAGAGTTCCAGTCCTTCATGGGCCGACGAATGTGTTCTAATGAGAAGTAGACTCAAACCTAGTTTCTGGTTCACGGGATGACTGTGTTTTAACGGGAATTCCGAATGATGGTAGACCAAAATGAATAATTCAACGTTGGCTAGAAGTGGTTGTGACTTAGCTACAAAAGTAAGATGTTCGCAATGGTGAATAACTAAGAGCAATGAACGCTGAAAAGAGTGTTACAAACTTCAAAGCAGTATGCCTGATTCATCCACAATTGACTAACCCAAGCCTTCGAGAGTTGTCTTTTGAACTAGTTCACGTTGAGAAGTGTACGTTTCCCTGAACCATTGCGATCATTCTACATACTTTGTGGGTTACATGTTATTAAAGTAGTAGAATGAACAGTTTTGAAAACAAACCGTAAAATGACTAAGTGAAGGAACACCAAAAAGCAATTAAATACCCCGGGAAACATTCTTTCTTTCATTCAGGTACCAATAATCGTAACATCGTGCAGCGGGTGGTTGAACAATTATGCACAGGATATGACGAACACAAAGACTGACGTACCGGTCTGCTGTAAACTGGGCATCACATAACGCGAAGAGATTATATCTAATCCTAATGCGGCGACATCTTTGCTCATGGAGGTTTTCTCTTTGGCGGTGAAAGAACGCGGGAAGCTACCACATAAGTAAAGCGCTACTTCAAGTGACGTCCACCTGTGGAAACAGCAAGCAAGGGATACAGACGACATGATGACACATGGAGGAGGGAGTCAATGAGGAATCAGTAAGCAAGTGACTAATATCAGAAAACGATCAGAAACTAAGATTAAAGAGGAGATCCCTGTTCATAGTTTACAGCCTAATGTTATTGTATTTGCATTCAGACCTTTGTGGGCGGAGAAAAACTTAGAGGTAAGTAGAAAATGAATGGTGAAAAGAAAAATTTACGTCACAAAGAAATTGGTTATATGAAATGAGTAGAAAGACACAAAAAACGAAATTATTTTAGTTACTTAAGTTTTAGACGAAATTCCACAGCACTTTTAATCTTGTTAACCAAAAACATGGGATAAAAATGATACTATGTGTGTGCGGAAGAAAGTAAGCCAGGATCGTGTTGATGAAGTGACATACAAACAGGCGACGACGTATAGATGTGAAATGGCAGTGAGAGAATCTCGTTTGCACACTTTTCACTGGCCTCGATGATGTGATGATCAAATGAGAGGGTTAAACGAGGGGGCCGACGAGGATCAGAGAAACCCGAGTTATGACAGCTAAATAACGGTGAGGCGCCTGGAAATTTTTATTGAGCAAACTAGAAAAGATAACTGAGGACCAGTGAAGTGAAAAGGACAGGCCACGCCAAATTACAAACACAACGATAAAGGCATGCTTAGCTCCAAATTGTCTTAGAATTTGAAAGGACAGTTGTTGATTTCTTTAACACAAACCTGAATGTGGAATGACCAACGCTTTGCGACGTCCAGACTTTTACAGACGGAAGTCTTGAGATATGAACTAATTCAATCATTAGAAAGTCATCAAAGAAATGAGATTTTGAGAGGGTGAAAATACATTTATGAAACTTGAATTGGTAGATGAGCATTGACGAGGTCAACATAGGCAACTTATCCTTGTTCTGACATCGGATGACGGGTGATGTTGAGAACACGCATCTGAGTTTGGTAGCATTGAATGTTGTTTTGACTGCCGCACTCAGGACTCTACTAACCGTTTCCGCTGATTGCTCTCCTTTGAACGGAAGTTTGATGGTCAAAGTCTTTTTTCTCAACTCTATCTGTAGCCAGCCGTAGTGTTCTTTCAGATCAGTTACGATTGATGAACGTTTCCGGGTAACCATTCTCCGACAGCGTCTTTCGTACAAATGTTAATTCTGTTTCTAATGTGTTTTCTGAGCAGATGTATCTTGCTCTCAACAGAAGACAGCGCACCAAGTTACGCTTGTGGACGAGCGGTACAAAACCTATGGAAGTTTGTGTACTGTCTGTTCCATGTGGCTATTTGATGCGCTTTCCGCTAAATGGAACCACCCAAACGTCTCATTAAATTAACATACAGGAATGGTAATTCGTCATATTCCTACTTCTCAACTGTAAAGTGTATCCATGAGTGTGCCACATTGAAATTCGACAAAGCATCATTGAATTCCAAGTGGTCATCGGAAATACAGAAAATATCGTCCACGTATCTATAATAGTGATAGAAATTGTTGATGACTGTGTATAGAGGATCGGACTCTAATTTTATCATGAAAATATCCGCAAGAACTGGCCCTAAGAGTGACCTCATGGCGACTCCATCTTTTTGGCAGTAGTAGGTATTACCAAACAAGAATGTGCTAAAATGAAGCTGAAAGTGAGATGCGTATCCACGAATTTTACGGACCTTCTGGGGGAAGAAAGATAAGTGGTTGCGATTAGACCGCCTAATCATCAACTTACTTTAGAGAGCTTGGTTGAAGCACTAAATGCTAACTCGCCGTTGTATGTGGTGAGCGTCGCCAATAGATTACCAAACCAGAGATTTTTGATCAATTCCATACAATCTTCTCGGCAATGAAGTACGCTTTAATTTAGCCATGATCAGACACGATTTAGTGAACGGTAAACTTAGGTGATCGCTCAGCTCAGGTTACCGAGTGGAAGGGTCTCGCAAACAAGTTATGAAACGCTGTGGTGTATGAGACTAGTCCTACTTACAGTACATTTTGTCTCGACGTTCCAGTGTTCAATAAGAAACCCGTATCGTGTTTTAATGACTTATTACTGTGAACTGTAGAGACCACTAAGGAACCAATCAACCGCTGTTAGAAAACGGTTGCACTTGGTACATGAACATACCGTGTTTATCGCACAAACATGCACTGGAATCCCTAACGCTAGCGCAGTTGCGGGTCGATCGCATTGTTTGGTTCAGTTGAACAAATAACACTGCGACTTAACGACACTGCAGCGAAATCAACGGGCAAGATCCTCGCTATGGATCAGTACGAAAGTTGTAGGGAATGGGGCCATGTTTTATCACCTGGATCACATCGGTCATTCCGGTCGATAGTAAGAGTGAGCTCCTCGGACACCGAGAAGTACTGTTGGGTTATGTGAACTGAAAATCTGAGCCCTGGGACTGCAGTGCAATAAAAAAAACAGTAGAACATGAGTAATTTCAAACATTAGTAGTTCTAACTGGTACCGAAATGAAACTGATCAGATACGGACTTCGGCTCCTGAAGTCCTGAGACGGAGATATTGTTTTAGTAAGCTAACAGACACAGAGAGTGAGGAACACGGATTAATCCACTGCTCCAGATAGAACAAATTTTATCGCACGCTTATAAGGAAAACACAAATGTGGGAGTGGGAGGAATTTCAGTTTTTCCAAGAATATTATTGAGAAACAGAAAAGAATTCTTTCTGAGAGCCCAAAACCATGTATGCGGTATACGAACGCAAGAACAGCATTTTTCGCANACACGTCTTAGCAAATTATGCGTGGCTTTTAAGTGCTCACCCATCGTCCTAGCCCTCTCTGATGATCCATACGCAACTTTCTTATGTATTTGTTAACCTTGACCGCGGCTAAAATGTGAACGCATAATAATCCCTTCTTTTCCTGAAATGTATCTGAGTATAGATGCACAGACACACTGACTAAGTTTTCGATCAGAGCTTGTTTTGGGTCTTGCTCGTTGCGACCACCACGTGAGTTATTTCCCAGCCCTGGTTCTTCCACTATAAGACACCGCTTTTCCATCCGGACAAAAGTACAGAATAGTTGTTGGAATGTGATTTTGTGGCAACTAGTAACTAAATGCCGCGAAGGTTAAAAAGCCATAAGATCACGGGCGAAGGCTGAAACACTGCGGAATGGTATTCGTGAGCCAGTCAGGGACTCTTAGTATACCTGGGTGGACTTAATTCCCAAATTTCCACTCTTTTCAGGACCGTTTACCACAGGCATTGTCTCACGTTTGCAATTACCTCACCACCAATCAGATATTCAACTTTGCGATTGTGCATACACATGCACACACTGCACAGAGAGAGACGAGGACTGTAAACTTTATAGCGCATGCGTTACACATTCCTAACTCACACGGGCACGTGATTGACACAATACCACTGGGCATACAATTTTGGCGTGATTGCATCGGTTACGTGCACCCCATTCTCTCAACCTCATTTTGATTACGGTACTATAAAAGTACACTTTTTAAGGGCCTGGCGGACTGAAGCTTCTTTACCGCTCTTGATGTCGAGAATATTCGGTTCAGTTCAGTGAATTTTATTTAAGCTGTTGGGGAAAATGCGAAAGATCGAATACGAGATCCGAGGTGTGAAAAATGAATGTGGTCAATGATGACATATGATATATACTCACCAAAACGGATCACCTTTGCTATGCTGCTCCTCTGCGTGTGCAAACAACTGCGAAAGAGTGTTGTGGAATGCGTCATTCCAATTGCTGAATCGCAAGGCAAAGCGCTAGATGACCAAATGGAACAGAGTGGAGGCGGAGGGTTGGGGTGAGAGACTGAACACAAATGCATGTGAAGCAGGAAAACAGGAGTAACAAGTGCGCTTTCCGTAAAACAGAGGAGTACATATTTGCAAAGTAATACAGACAGTAACTAAAAGTTTGTATCAATCAAAGAGACAGACCCAAGTATTGAAAGCAGAACTGGAGACCGTGAGCGTTGACCATGGGGTAGTTTGTCACACGTCAACCGAAACACGTGCTGTGATCCCTACAACGTGAGCCAACCTCATAGATGCAAGAAGTGTATCATGCATCCTTTTGCTGCGAAATATCGCATCGTGACGCTGAAGATGCACCATGACCAACGGAACACAACTACCTGTTTATAAAAAAGCTGAACGTAAGATTGTAGTGCTGAAAATCATCAATATACCGATACAGTGCATCGACAAGTACTACT